CTCGTTATCTCAACACTTGAGAGCGGGGTGGGTTCCTATGTCCAGCGCGGTTCACAACCAAGCGGCAGCCTGTGTTGCAGCCAGCGGTGTCATTTTTGAAAATCAGCTTAAGCACCAATCAATTCAAATGAAAGATAATTTCACAAAGTTAACTTTACATTCATACTTTAAATGTATCATGTATTATGCTGGTTTATTATTTTGTTCCGTTTATTGCCAGTAATCGTTACCTTCTATTCTGAGTTTAAAACGGTCATAACTCCGTAACCGTACAAAATCGGACACATGCTTAAATGAACTTTTTTGATCACAAAGACCTAGGAAATCACCTCCTGCAGTTATGCCCTAAAGTTGTGAAACATCCTGTATATATATGCCGTTACCAAAAAGTATGCAACTATGTAATATGAAACATTAATTTAATACATGAAGATCTCAGGATCCGGCAGTGTCAACATAAGCACCAAAGCATCAAATGGCAACCATCTACCAATATATGTGCATTTACCCTAAACTGACAAGTTCTGAATACTGTTATTACAAATACCCTGGAGATATACTAATATTTTTGTTACGTATTTTACATTACTTATATGTTGATCTATGTTGGATCTATGATATGTTGGAAAAAGCTATCAAGGAAATGAGGAAGGGAAAGGCTACAGGAGATGATGATGTACCTGGAGATGTGCTCAAGTTACTGGGAGAAGGTGCTTTGAAAACACTGACAAAACTAATGAACACCATATATGAAAGTGGAGAGTGGCCCAAGGACTTTACAGAAGTTACAATGATTGCCTTAAAGAAAAAGACAAAAGCTACAAAATGCAGCGACCATCGCACAATAAGCCTTATTGCACATACAGCAAAGATAATAGCAAAGATACTTAAAAGAAGAATTGAAAGGAAAATAGAGGATGTACTTGGAGAAGATCAGTTTGGATTTAGAAGAGGAAAAGGAACCAGGGATGCAATTGGGATGATGAGAATTATAGCGGAACGAACTTTGGAGATAGATGAAGAACTGTGTGTTTGCTTCATAGACTGGCAGAAGGCATTTGACCGGGTAAACTGGACCAAATTAATGCAGATCCTGAAAGAAACAGGTATCGATTGGCATGAAAGAAGATTGATTAGCAAATTGTACATGGATCAGAAAGTTAGAGTACGACTGGACAGAGGGGAGACAGGAAGTGTGCGGATTGGAAGAGGAGTTCGACAAGGATGCTGTTTATCACCAATTCTGTTCAACTTGTACAGCGAATGCCTTACCAAGGAAGCTCTGGATGGGCTCGGTGACTTCAAAGTAGGAGGGCAAATTATTCAAACTGTGAAATATGCAGATGACCTTGTGTTAATGGCTAAGGAAGAAACTGTGCTACAGGGCATGATTGATAGACTAATTGAAATTGGAAGGTGCTATGGCATGGAAATGAATGTGGAGAAAACAAAAGTAATGAAAATTTCGAGACAACCAACCCCAGTCACAATAAAGATAGACCAAAAACAAGTGGAGAATGTGAAATGTTTTAAATATTTGGGTAGCTTGTTAACAGATGATGGAAGGTGTACTTGTGAAATTAAATCCAGGATTGCCATGGCAAAAGCTGCATTTAGCAAGAAGAAGAATCTTTTTACCAGCAAATTGGACTTAAATTTGAGGAAGAAACTAGTGAAATGCTACATTTGGAGCATAGCTCTGTATGGGGCTGAAACATGGACACTTAGGGCAGTAGATCAGAAACATCTGGAAAGTTTCGAAATGTGGTGTTGGAGAAGAATGGAGAAGATCAGTTGGACCGATTATGTGAGAAATGAAGAAGTGTTAATTAGAGTCAGTGAGCAGAGGAATATCCTACACGAAATAAGAAAACGGAAGGCTAATTGGATTGGTCATGTTTTATGCAGAAACTGCCTTCTAAAAGAAGTTATCGAAGGAAAGATAGAGGGGCGGATAGAAATGACAAGAAGACGAGGAAGAAGACGTAAGAAGATGCTGGATGACCTTGGGGACAGAAGAGGATACTGTCATTTGAAGGAGAAAGCTCTAGATCGCATTAAGTGGAGGAATTGTTTTGGAAGAGACTGTGGACCTGTCATCTTGACAGATTACTGATGATGATGATGATGATGATGATGATGATGATATGTTGATCTACGATAACAACAATAACAGTGAGAAGCCTTAATATCTCAACCACTATCTGCCAAATATTAAAATTTAGCCTTCTGAAAAAAAATGCATTAGTAAGGTCCATAAAAGTCTAGTGCAATTACAAGTACCTGTCAGTAAGCAGTCTTAACTATGTCCAAAATTTGTGTGAGCAAAGGGACCATAACAATTGGTCACCATATTGTTGACATACTCAAACCATCTTCAACTACAGGCATATTTAATCATTTCTTTAAATTTTGATTTATTAATAAGTTCAAAGTATGTGAGTATGTCATGGAGCTGATCTGAGCACAAGGCAGTTTCTGTCACCATAAGTCAGGTCCAGAGGGGTCCAGCCAGTCAGTCAGAGGGTGATGGTTCCCAATGTGAAAATGCATTACTTAGGACATGGCATGGCATTTGTTACTTTTAACCAATAGGAATGCCTACATTCAAAATAACAGTGAAGAACTGTGTTCCAACATCCAGCTAAAAAGAAATGAGGGACTTCTCTTAGTGTTGGATGTTACTTCTTGGAGGGCTGATGCTTCACTTGTATGTCATCTCGGGGCTTTCTGTTTCAACTTCACAAGTCAATGAACATGTCTAAGAACTCCAGAAAATTAGTTATAATAAATTAATATCCATGTACTGGTTAAACTGACACAATAGAAACTGATCAAATTCATATCATTATGCGTCACCGCTTCTGCACCTTAAATAATTCAGTGTTAGAAAAATATAAACTGCTGAATCATTGTGGCTTCTTGTATGGTGAATGACAGCTGTTTCTCCATTAATGCAATCATTGAGAGGGAGTCAATCCCTTACCAGCTGAGTTAACTAACCACACCACTCTATGATAATCACAATAATCCACCCTGAAATATGCGCCCATAAAATTACCAATCCACACCTCAGCTAATGCCGTCCAAGTAGGAGGTCAGGTTGATCTGGCCAGTTATAATACCTATATCTGAAATAGACACGAACTATATTGGATGTTACCCTATCACTCACTCACGGAGCCAAGCCCTTCTTGAGAAGCCACCAATTGTACTGCTACTCAAGAACTTCCCAGCATTTTATGAAACCTGAAGGTTCATTATCATATTAACAAGAGCCCTCCACCTAAGCCAGATTGATCAAGTCCATACCACCCCATCCTATCTCTCTAGGATCCATTTTAATATTGCCCACCCACCTATACCTTGGTCTTCCCAGTGATCTCTTTCCTTCTGAGTTTCCCACAAATATCCTATATGCATTCCTGTTCTCTCACATTCGTGCTACATGCCATGCCCACATGATCACCCTTCACTTGATCCCTCTAATTATACTTGGTGAAGAGTACATGTTATGAAGATCCTCATTATGCAGTGTTCACCTATCTCCCGTAACTTCATCTCTCTTTGATCCAAATATTCTCCTCAGATCCCTGTTCTCAAAAACTCTCAGTCTCTGTTCCTCCTTCAATGTCAGACACCAAATTTCACACCCATACAGAATGTCAGGCAAAATTATTGTTTTGTATATTCTACCCTATAAAATTATAATTTATGGTGATGCCTCCAATTGCTCCAATTGTATCCAATTTTGAGGTGGTAATATGTGGATTATGCACCTCTAATTCACAGAATCATCTCAACCTGGTTTCCTCTCTTTCATAAACTTACACATCTACATTCACCTGCATGTTCACCAGAATTAGCTTTAAAACTAGAAAGATATCAGTAATTTTGGAACATCTGTTTTCCTTAGGCTATGAAATACTCTGAAATAGTATAATGTGGTACATCAAATTTAACAGATGTCAGTGATGGCCAAGGATGGTTACTTAAAATTTATGAAGAAAACTTGTATATTTCAACATCTATGGAGCAATTTAACTTATGGCTTCCCATTTTTAAAAATATGAAAAATAAATGTGCATTAAAATCACCATATCAAACACAAATATGTGGTATATCAAAAGTTTTTCTTTTACCTAAAGAATTAAGTTGATAATTAGCCACTCATTTTATTTAATGGCACCTGCAATACCATGTGTCCAAGCTATTTCTTCAGTGACGACTATGCCGAAGCTGTCATCCACAATGCCCATTATTCTTTCAGAATTTGGGCTGCCGTCATAATATAATCTGGATGAAATAAGTTTCTCTGCAATTTATCCTAACTTTGTTTTCAGATTCACTTCAAATCAGAGAACTTGATTTCCATAGCTCAATATGAATCAGAACTGCAAAATAGGTCCAGACACCTTTTGTTAGTCCAGCTGATCAATCATCACCCATATGCTCGTCTATTCCATCACTTTCTGTGACAAGAGCTCGCTCTAAAATCACTCGCCCCTCTTTGTAACGCTGGTTTTCTTCTGTTGCAAACTCATAAATCCAACCAAGTTTCGCATCACAATTTTTACAAGACACATCACGAACCATGTGTCTTCCAGTCAGCATCACTCGGTCTTGAACTTCACTGAAAGAAGAGGGATAACGGTTCATTAAAAATACTGGCTTTAAAGTATATTTCACTATTACATAATTATTTTGCAAAATACAATACCTAACCTGTAATTTAAATTCACCACTCTGTTGAACAGAAATGCTCGACCTGTTGCTCCTGTAAATCTTGTACTAATTAACTCACTCCTGTTTGTCAAAATTGTGTCGCATGATGCACAGGAGAAGAGACGAGAACCACCTATATGGTCCAAAAATATGCGACCCATTTTTTACTGGAAATAACGAAGACGTATATAAATTTACAGCATTTTATTTTTCCTTACATTTTAACACATACTGCATTAAATATTATCAACTACAGAATATGTACGCACCTTATTAGGCGAGATAATTAATGAGAGAACGGCAATTTCCAGAAGCACTTTTTCGAATTGGCAAATCAAAATCACAAACACAGCTGATTGCAAATGACCAACTGTGGCGTATCACAATGTAAACAATCAATTGACGTTTTACTTTAACGAACTTTATATTTAATAATCATCTAAACGTACTTACGAAATGTACTGATAAATTTGAAATGTTTGCGGTGGGATGGGAATATTGCGTTTATTACATTGCAAAATGCATCTTGCACCATCGATTTTATAACAAAGACATCGTCTTTGAATTACGCAATATACGAACACGGAAATTACGCTCGTATTTGAAGTAACAAAAGATAATCTATAAACGTAATTAAAAATTCACTTTTACAAAAATAGCTGGAAATTTCATTCAGCTGTGAAGAATTGCAGACTTTCCGCTGCGTCTCACATTTGCAACCCCGCGCAAGTGTCAGACTGCAAGTCAGTGCGGGTATGTTGACCAAGTTGACAGCCAATAGCGGCCAATAATACGTTAGTGAATTGTATCCAGGAGAAATGTATGGTGGCTGTGTGAATTTGAACATGAAGTGAGAATGGTTAGCGCATGTCGGAGATTGGAGTTACGAATTCATGAATAAATACTGTGGAGGTCAATAGACACGGTAATACGAAACCCTATCTTCGTTTGGTCTTGTGTCTCTTTGTAAGTAATATATAAAAATGAAAGAAGTTCGCAAGGAAATTACAACTTAAGCCCTGACTGAATTGCAATGTTAAGACTAATCTCATGAAGTCGTCTACCATGCCCATTCAGCAGAATATATAAAAAAAGAATTACCCAAGATGTAGCTGTTTCGGTTTTTGTTTTGTAGGTTATTTTATATGCTGTTGGTAGCTAGAATTCATAGTGTCGAGTATCTGATAACAAGTATTGCAAAAAGCAAAACAAAGTTGTCCCTGTGCTGAACTAATTAAGCACTGTGCCATGAGGGCGTATGGGGGAGTGGATGTATTGCAATGTATAAATAAGAAGGACTAAGAAATATTATGTATTTTCCTGCAAATATTTTGGTGTGTACAGTTGGTTTAGAATAACTGTAACTTAATATTTAGTGATCTGTTTCCATGTACAAATTCTAGTTGTATAATTCCAATTATGTTAAAACTGCCAGTATTACAGTTACGTACTGACATGCCCCGTACTGGGTCTCAAGGTAGGGACTACCCACAGGTCATAGTGGGTAATGTAGATGATAAAAAAAAGAAGGGAAGCTAACAAACTGACTGAAGGTTCATTACCATGATCACAAGACTCCTCCACTTGTCCCCAACCTGAGTCAGATAAATCCATTTTGTACCACACCATCCTGTCCCTCTTAAGATCCACTGTAATACTACCCACCCACCTACTTCTTGGTCTGTCTAGTGGTCTGTTACCTTCGGGCTTTTCTGCCAATATCCTATATGCAGTCCTTATTGCTTCCATCCTTGACTTGATCAAACAAATTATACTTTGTGAAGAGGATAAGTTATGAAGCTCCTCATGCATTTTTTTTCAACCTCCTGTCAGTTCATCTCTCTTTTGCCCAAATATTCTCCCCAGTAACCTGTTCCGTCAGAGACAGAGTACCTGTACCTTCAGAGTACATTCCTACCATAATGTCTCAGACCAAGTTTCACACCCATACAGAACCACAAGCAAAATTATAGAGTTGCATTAGCGTCTATTTGTCTATATCCGTCTAAATTGCAACACTTGTTTTACACTTCAATATATTCTTTAACACTTAACACTACATGTTTCGTCCTCAAAGGGCCATCTTCAGGTGTTTTATTACAGATATTCAATCAAGACCTTGTTGAAACTGCTACGCTGTTTCACTGTTCCAATTCATTTTAAAAACCACACGCTGCAGTCCTCCTTTTATTAAAACGAGATAAAATTCTCTTATAATTTGTTGTTTCACTCCACTCAGGGTGTCGTCCCTTCCGTAAAATATATCAAAATATTTTCCCCAGCAGCTTGTTCCTCACTTTAGTTATTTGCGCCTGGTTTTCGTTTCCTTCTCAAAGTGTGGTATTGTTTTTACTAGACTAGACTAAGTCTCAACAATATATAATTCACGCACACAGACCATTTATTAACTCTTATCTTCTGAGCCACTTACATGCTCGACAAATTCATCAGTTGAGTAAAATGCATTACTTTGCAAATAATTTCCTAGAACAAACCTAAATTGCTTTTTATCGTTTTTTAAAACTGTGATTTGATGGCATAATATTAAATAGCTTGACGCCTGAATAATACACCCCTCTTTGATAGAATGATAAATGTTTTGACGGTATATGAAGGTGGTGATTCCTTCTGGTACCAATGACGTATACAGCGTTATTGGTTTGAAACTAAGCCACATTATTAAGAACAGATATCATCAATGAGAGCAAATATACTGTAACGTGTTTTTCTAGTGAAGACGCTGATCGGATTGTTAATTGGTTTATTTAACAACGTACAAATCTTGGCTACAATTAATTATAACAATTTTACGGGTTTACACACTTTACAAACCCTACACACAAATCTCTTCACGCTGTCCTCAGTAGGCTACATGTATTCGCAGTACGGGAGCTATACAAGTGTCACTGTATTACACACTCCCAGTACCTTCTCAGTGATCACGAACTATCACTGATTATCACACACGCGTCCGGTTCTTCTTTCCGCGACTGCTGCTATACTCAAACTGTCTTCGTAGGCAGTGTAGATCTCTTATAAACCCTCAGCTGGACAACGGGAAAAGCCTCGCTTCCTTGTCGCCTAGTTGCCGTGTTTGCCTGTTATGTAATGGGTACCGCTGTTTATTACCGTTGTCTCTAGCAACCGCTGTTTACTCGCTTTGCATGGCGACCAGTGTGCTTGGACTCGGCTCACTTCGGCTCCGCTCGGCACGTCACCGCTGGCGGGGGGGGGGGGGGGGCGC